TAAAGCAATGTTAACTATATGCATGTTGTTATATAACAGATCACTAGAATTTTTTCATCCTGCAAAACTGAAATCTTATACTCTGTGAACAACAATTCCCTTTTCTGCTGTCTCCATAATCCCTAGAAACTAGCATTCTATTTTTGATGTTGTTATTGTTGTTCTAATCATTAATAATTTTAGATACCTGGTGTAAGTAAAATTGTGAAATATCTATCTTTTTGTATTAAATGTATGTTTATACTATATTAGACAAAACCATGGGCAGACTGCATTCTATTTGTTTGTAGGTTGCTTGTTTTAATTTTTTTCTCCAAGAAACACTATCATTTTTCCCCATGATGACTATAATAGTAGACTAGCTACAAAGTCCATTAAACCTCGGTTTACCCACAATGCTATTAGAAGAACAGTGGTAACAGCGGAAAAGAGCTTTCAGGACAGGGAACAGAAGAGGTGTCAGAGGCCACTAAAATAAACTGTCTTTTATAAGTTAAATATTTACAGGCTAGAGAATTCCTGCATATAAACAGCTACTGAATAAAATTTCTTGACATTTTTAGAAATGTTGCACAAGTCTTAACATGACTATCAAAAAACTTTCTCTGGTTAGTTCATTTTGAAGACGATACAATATATCAAATGTAATATTAATAATATCTGTTTAGAAAAACAAATTTGCTAATGCTTCAAATAGCCTTAAATTTTTTTTCAACATTCTCTCTGCAGATATAAAGAATGTTACAGTTATATGAGATAAAATCTCATCATAACAAACAGAATGAAATACTATAAAAATGGAAATAAGCAGAATATTCACTTCCGGAGTGTACCATTTCACTTTAAATAAAGGTACGGAGACACCCAGGAAAACAGTCCCTTTCATACCTGTACAAAAACTTTCTGGAGTAGTCCTCGACGTTCTGCTAGAGGTAGCTCATTCTGTGCACCTCCAACTGCCTCAGGCACATGTGGAAGGTCAAAAAACAGATATAAACATTTAACCAGGGTGGAAGGCACTGACATCGTTGTCATGCAGTCCACGGTTTTCTGAAAAAAAAAATTAAATAAATAAAATAAGTGAATAGACAAATAGGCATAACAGTAATTGGTAAAGGTGAAGGACTCATAAATTTTAAACCAGAAAAGTATTTATCAAGAAAACTTTTTTAAATGTATGTAAGAATTACAAAATAACACCTTTCTTAGAGACACTCAATTTCTAACATTTGGACCAATTTGCTTAGATCAAATATTGAGATTGATTTTTTTTGTTATGTAATGTTATTTATTAAATTTGGTACTTGTTTGTTAAGCAGCAGATGTTTCAAAGAATATAAGCTTTGGGATTTTAAGGAAAAGGCACTTAATAACCATGAACTTGGGGAACTACTTCTTTTTCCTGGGCCTTACATTCCTCTATTATAAAATGGATAGAATGTTACATACATCTTAGCTTAATGTTATGGTTATATAAAATAACAAATGCAAAAGACATATGAGTACTAAAAAATATTAGTTTACTACTATAATTTTTATCTTTAGTCTTTTTATAGATTATTGAAGCTGGAAGGACACTTGAGAGATACAATAATCACTGATCTAACTAAATACATCAATACTTATAATTTTCTTTTTAAAAGAAGAAATTCTAGACAATATTCACCCAAATTTTCCATGATATGGTTTTGTATAAAAAATCTTGCACTGGAACCAACAAGTTGGCATCAACTGTTCATTAGTTTATTTAGTTTCTCATCAAACACTTATTGAATGCCTAGGGTAAACCTGGCAGTGTGAAGGAGGCAGGGAATGCAAAGACGAAGCAGCCCTGCCCTTCAGAAGGCCACAGTTTGCTAGCAAATCTAATAGATTTGTAAGAACTACTATCTCTGAAGTCTAACAATGGCAGCATATAGAGGCTAATATAAAGCGGAAATGATAAACACTGCCTGAAATGAAACAGAAAAATACACAAAATTAAAATAAGGAGGAAAGATTCACCTAAAAACACAGAGGAAGTTAGGACATATGATGTATACAATACACTTAAGACACCAGAGCTGCAAACTGTTGATTACTGAAAAGCCACACAAATAAAAACTAATCTTTCAATTAAGTGTTCACTCTTCAACATGTGTACCTCAACTACTAGTCAAGTCAACACTGAGATAGATACTATTGTCCTATGACTCTGATCTTACAAAGAGGCAACTGAACCTCATTATTTACATACCTTGCTTCAGGTTAGAGAGCTAATCAAGTGATACATAAAGTGTGTAAGTAAACAACCTATGAAAAGAGTTTTACATTCTAGTTTGACTTTTATTTTACTGGCAATGGACACCCAATTCAATGTTACACTCAATTAAAAAGTGACACAATCAGAATTCAGGTATGGCTGGTGGTAGTATATATCATAAATTAATATAGAGAGCCAGGTGGCAAGGGCAATTAACTAAAACAGAAAACCATATGCAAGATGGGGCCTGAATTAATGCAGTAGCAGTATGAGGGAGAGGAGAATGAACTTCAGGAACAATACCTTGAAAAATCTAGCTTCTTTCTAAATATCCAATATTATTTTCTACCTCAAGAATACTAAATCCCTGCTCTATCCAACTACCATTTATTATTACTTGCCACCACAATTTTTAGTTAAAGTGTCTGCTATATCTCAAACATTCCCTTTAATTCCTCATTATTTCTCCTACTCTTATTTTTAAAAAGTTCTACTCTCACATTTCTATTTTAATAGCACTAAACATATGCCATTATTATATTTTATGGTACTATCTTTCTTGATTTCATCTCTGTCATCTGTATGTTGAGTCAGGACCACATTTCCATCATCTCTGTATCTCACTGTTGTCAGCAGAAAATGGCACTCAAACAAACAAACAACAACAACAAAAAGCAGCTCAAAGCATAACAGT